TATCATGCTAGAAATTGTCAGATAGAGAAGCATTCCTACATTCAATACGAACCTAAGTAAAATATCCTTCAAGGCTCCTTTCAAAGGTTCTATTATTTTATGATTCATTCACTTTAAGTCACAATAAAACTTTGGTATTACCATAAAATCATCAAAGTCATCAGAAATAAGAGAGATCGTATACTAAAACTGCTGAAGAGTTAACATTTGATGTTCCTCAAAAGCTATAAATTGTTCTTCATAATTAAATTTTAAAATTAGTTTTTTTGTATTCCCACACTTACTTCCATATCTATCTAATTAAAAAAAAAAAAAATGACATATTTAGACACTCAACAGTAGCTGTACCTCCCAACAAGTATCTGTAGGAATGGAGGAAAAAAAGAGGAATAGGCTTAATGCTTCCATCCTTTAAAAACAAACATACCGTTTTGATAAGTCTACTCAAACATTGAAATATCAGTTTGCAAAAAGTATGCAATCTAAATTTTATGGAATTTATTCAACGCTAGAATGCTATTTCCATAGAATATGTGCATGCCCTAGAATCAAATTCATCTGAGTAGCTTAAAATTCATCTTCCCTATTGCTATATGAAGTAATATAAAAGAAGGTTAAATGTAAAATGAAAAATAAAAATGAAAACACACTTAGGTTTGAGCCACTTCCTAAACTATATGATCTTAAGGAAATTATTTAACCTAAGTTAATTTACAAATCATCTATAAAAAGAGAATATATTGACAACTGTCTTAAGAGATTGTGAGCATTAAATGAGATGATTCGTTTAAAGTGATTAGAATTCCCAAAACAGAGTGAAAGCACTCATTACATATGAATGATTAATTTTAATACCAGATAATAGAGACAGCAACTAATAATACGCATCTGTAACTAATTTTCCTTTTAAAAGTGAAGCCCAAATACAATTACGTAAAAATCAGGCACAAAATAATTTAGAAACCTAGCCAATGAAATATGACATGGTATAGAAACAAAAATAGCATTAGCAAATGAGATTACATTCCTTAAAATTTCAACAAAAGCACTGAAAATTTTTTAGAATTTAAAATTTATAAGCAAAGCAGTTTCCTGAAAATTAACAGCATTCTTGCTCTATAGCAAAAGAGGGGGAGATGGATGCGTATTTAGATTGGTAGGTAGGTTGGTAGGTAGGTTGGTAGGTAGGTGAGACCAGAAAGGCACGTAGAAGGCCATTCCAATAATAATAATATTATACATATATACATGCATTTTTTTAATAATAAATGTTAAAACTGGCAGGTGAGCTAAGAAACACTCAGGAAAGACACAGCCAAAGGACGCAGGTTACCTAAAAGACGGAGATCTAATCATAGGATTACAGAAAGCTTCCTCTCCCCCCACATGTTGCCTACCATTAATAAGGCTCCTACATACCAACAGGGTACATCTGAAAGAACTACAAGCCAAAGAAGTTACTACGGAAATTCAAAGACATAAAGAACATTATAGGAAATTTTAGCCTCTGACACCAGTTACAGAAATCAGTAAACACAGCCTACCTCCTAGACAAATAACATAAAACCTCACGCTAAAGGCCTATTTGCCTGAGTTCCTTTTAATCTTTTCCCAAATACATCATGCCCAACTATCGACAACAATAAAAAATTACAAGGTGTGCTAAAAGGCCCCAAAAAAATTTTTCGAAGAGACAAAGCAAGCATCAAAACCAGACTCAAATGTGACAAAGATTTTTTAGAATGACCACACTGAGAATTTAATAATTATGATTAATATGCTAAGGGCTTTAAAGAAAGAAGTGGACACCATGCAAGAACAGGAAGATAAGGTAAGCAGAGAAATGGAAACACTAAGAAAGAATCAAAAAGAAATGACAAAAATCAACAACACTGTAACAGATATGAAGAATGCCTTTGATGGGTTTATTAGTAGACTGAACACAGGAGAGAAAATAATCAGTGAGTTTGAAGATATGTCAATATAAACTTCCCAAACTAAAACATAAAGAGGAAAAGAAAAATACACAAACAAAAACAGAACAGAATATCCAAGAACTGTGAGACAGTTATGAAAGTTCAACATATATAATAGAAATATCCAGAGAAGAGAAAAAGAACAGACGAAATATTTGAATAATAGCTGAGAATTTTCCAAAATAAAGGAGAGAAACCACACCACAGATACTTGAAGTTCAGAGACCATCAAGCAGAACATATACTGAAAAAAAATCTACACTTAGGTATGTTAAATTAAAACTGTAGAAAACCAAAGACAGAGAAAAAAAAAACACCTTACCTTAAAGAACAACGTTAAGAATTACATAGAAGTTCTCTTCAGAAACCGTGCAAGCAAGACACAAAAGTGAATATTTAAAGTGTTGAAAGAAAAAAACACCAACCTAGAATTCTGTATCCGGCAAAATGATCCTTCAAAGGTAAAGGACAAATCAAGATTTTCTCAGAGAAACAAAAATTAAGTGAATCTGTCACCAGTAGACATGCACTGCAAGAAATGTTAAAAACATCTCTCTTCAGAGAGATGGAAAATGTGTATGTCAGAAACTAGGTTTACACAAAGAAAGGACCAGCCTTATAGAAATAAATGAAAGTAAAATAAAATACCATTAGGCACTTACAAATTAAGATAAAATTATATACATACTTTAATACCTTTAAATACATATATGACCAAAGGCAAAAAAATCTAAAGAATGAATGCAAAATCAAAGTCTATTACATACCTAAAAATACCATGAAACAAATCGAAAAGCCAACTACTATCTAGAAAAAATTATAACATATATTTAACAATCTACAAGATTTTTTTTTTAAGCATCCACAGTTTGGGGAGTAGGAAAGGGTTGACTTTTCTGGTGAGTGAATTTGGGAGATAAAATTGGGCATGCTTTGTTCAGTATCTCATAGATACTTTCTTATTTAGAGCCAGTCTTATCTACAAATGTCCACAATTTCTGGGGCTCTATGCTGTAGACTTAAAAGAATATATTCTGGCCCCGTAAAGAGGCCTGCAGTTTTCCAGTAAAGCGACTAGCTGGATAAATCTTAATCAGAGATGAAGTACTGGCAAGGACACTGTGGCAAGATATCTAAGTCAATCTTCCAACCCAGCTTTACCCAACCACAATTCTGATCTCCACCTGATTCCCTTGTATATGTATTCAACTGGTACAGAATTCAGGGAGTAAAGATATCAATTATCTGTTCTCCAGCCACAAGCAGTATTTCCAATATTAGCCATGTTTTATAACTTCATCAAAATGTTTCACAAACCAAGTAGTCACAATTAAGAGGGCTAAGGTATAGAGACAAATATATGGATAGAGAAATAAATTAGATAATTTGTTATAAAGAAAAAAGAACAGTTCTATAGCACATTAAAAAGAGCACTTTCCTTCTTGGATGTTGAGTATCTTGAGGAATCAGAAGAATAAAATCAGAGATGTGGATTTACATTGTGAAGCTAATAAAGTTGAAGCTTTAGGGCTATACATTTGGCATTGGCTTCTTCCAAAAGTCCTAGACATGATTTTTTATATTCATGATTTTGTACTCTTTTCTTTAAAAGAACCCCTGAAATTATAAAAGCTTGAAACCTCATAAAACCTGGAGCAGCTCTGGATAAAACCTAAGAAGAAAGCAGAATAAAGTCAAATGCATTCTGGATTGGGATTTTTAATTTTAGTCCAACTCTGAAGATTCTGAAATTCACAAGTTATTAGAAAAATTCTAAGATATTACAGCTAAATGAAACAAAATCTGTCCAAGTGGTTACTTCATAGCTTAACATAATAAAAAGCTGAAACCCTATTTAAAGGAAAGATTCATTCTTACTCTCTCACCTCAAAGAGGGGATTTTATCATTCTACTATTATATTAGCTATTATGCAAGCAACCTACGAAAATTTTTATGATCTGATGTTAAAGGACAAGATAAATTATTATAATCACTTCTAAGGAATCTATATGAAAGAACTTGGCAAAGAATAGGTTTTTTAGTATGTGAAATAATAAGGATTATTTTTTCTTTCCTCTTTTTCTAAATATCCTATAATTAGTTTTATAACTTAAATTTTTAAATTATAATTTAACACTATGGCTATAAAGAAGTAAAAATGATCTAATCTTATGTAGTTTTAAAGATTCTGAAGCTAGTCCATAAAGAGTTCCAAAATACTTTAGCAACTATGTTTTTTTAATGTATAACTTCTTCAAGGTAATTACTTTGACAAATATTATTTTTGTCCCATATTTTATGAGCACACCCTAATTATGTTACCTTCTTCAGAACTGTGCTCAAACAGTTTAAGGAAGACAGATTCCCCATATTATCGTAACCTAGATTGTTGCACTTTCCCTGCCTTCTTCCGTCTCTTTCCTTTAAAAGAGCTCCTATTTCTTATGTCTCACAGTACGTGTACTTTTGGTAACAATCCTTATTTCCTATTACTAATGCTGTTCTATATAGAAAGAAGAGACAGGTATTAACACTTATTAAATCCGTAATTTTAATTTTATAAATCATAAATATATTTGATCATGACCCTAGCCTAAAATAAAATGTTACATGACTTCTGTGCAACACTTTATTTATTCTGGAATTTTAGTTTTCATTCCCCAGGCAAGATTTAGGTTGTGCTGCTTCGGTTATAAAATAAATGGGTATATTACATTAACTATGTGAAATTTTATGTATTCTACCACGGACAACCAGAGCAATGGTTAAAAAGGGGATGAGGGGCAACAGCTCTCCTCAAAACTATCTTTAATTTGAGCTTTGGCAATTTTATTTTAGGTTTAATGGTAAATTACATTAATAAGAGTTTCTCACTTCATTTTTATTCTGTGACCAAAATGCAAGTATGGAACATGCTTTCCTTGGCTCCTGAAATAAAAGGCAACAAAATTCTATCACTCCAAAATTTACCATAGAATCTGAAGTAAGGGTTACATTTCACTGTATCTGAAAAGACAATCTATAGAAATCTCTTTGGTATTTTAATACCTCGATGCCCACCAAAAGAAAAGAAAATAGACTAAAAAAATTAAAATGGCAGTTATTTAATATTTACATAAATATTTAACTTCTTTTCCTACCCCCTTCTGCCCTTTTCATGCATTCTGTATTACATGTACATCTGTAAATCTCAACATTTTTTTCAGGAAAGACAGGATTCAAATACATAATGAATGTGAAAAATGTATAATTCAAATAAGAAAGTCAAATGACAACTTTTAACTACATTCAACACCATTTAAGCTAAAAATCTCAAAATCAGCTACAATGAACATCACATAGAACTCCATTTAGAAGAGACTATAAATAAAATAACTTACTATTCTTATTTTGTAATTTTAAAAACTACCTCTTACCTCAAACATTATTTTTAGAAACAGGAACATTATTTTTTCCCTTTAACTGTTTGGTCATTCTCGAAAAGTATTCATTCAACATACTATAAGTTTTACATTTCTTTTAAAGTTTGAAAAAACTCTCTTTCTTACCTCTTTATCCCATCTCTCTTACATTTGTCTTATAAGAGCCAAAATTACCATAAGTACGTAAGTAGACAGAACAAATCATTACGAAATGTTTGGTGTTTAGGAGATTGTTAATTCATATGAGAACATATAAAACTGCATATTTGGTTAGGCAGGCAAGTAAAAGTTTTCATATTAAACTGGTAATTCAAGGTGGAGGAGAGTGGGAGAGAACAGTATCCCAAGACATTGCTTAAATAGAAAACAAAAAATCCCACTCTTCCAATGTGATTTTAAAGTCTGGATAAAATCTACCTAGGAAATTATAGGGTTCTGTGATAATTTTCTTCTAAATGGTAATTCCCCAAGGCCCAGACCAACATATACTTAAATTTTTGAAACTCAAATGAAAATTAAGACAGTATCTACCTTTGTGGTACTAAACTTCATATGATAAGGGAAGGTTAGATGAAATGTAAAAGATTCATGGAGTTCTTCAATTCTGTCATCCTCAATTCTGGATTGGTAAACTCACTAAGAAATGAATTAAGAAGTCTTAAAGGTACAACTGAAATGCAAGTAAATAGAGCTCCCAATTAATCCGGCATCTCATTCAAAATGTTTTCCCTGCTAATTAAGAAAACCAAGAGTTACCCACAAACATAAAAGTTATTATAACATGCAAATTAAATCACTGTTCTAATTCATGAAATTGTGTATAGCAAATATATGTTAAATTTGCAGTAAGGTTGACCAGTGCTTAAAAATGAATAATGCTATAATGCACAGGGAAAAAAAAGAAGTAGCAATAATATACGATGAAAGAGCTGATGACAACACAGTTTATCTCACACAGTCTCTATAATTATGGCCTATCAAATTTTCTGATTGCAGAATGGCAAATAACTGTTGATCTGAGCTTAAAAGTCTTTGAAGCTATGTAAGATTCAGGAATTCTGTTCTTTGGAATTCTCATAATCCCAACAATAAATCTAAAAGTACAACCTATTCTATGTTTGAGTTAAAGAATAAGTTGAAATTCCTGAATTAAAATGAAGGTTACAGAACACATTTTCCCCCCAATATTTGAGAATATGACAATGAATCACTGTGGGAAAACTGACATTAAAAGAACTATCACATAAAACTTTTTCCATAGAGGAAAAAGTCTTGAGTTCCTCTTCCTTAGCTAATTTGACTATCATTAGTGCTTTAAAAAATTATTTAGAAGCTAAGGAGTTATTTTATACATGTATGCACATACGCTCACATGCATACACACAGAAATTCCCCCATCACAGTTCAAATTTAATTTGCATTTTATAAAAATCTATCTTTAAAATGCCAAATTGGCAAAGATTAGTAGGAAAGAGGGAAGAAAGTTCAGTCATGTTTAAAAGCCAGGGTGTTTAGGAAATTTATAAAAAAGTATATAAATTTCTATCTTTAGGAGCACATAATATGAATTGCCAGAGATTTTTAGTTTTTCCTAAGAAAAGAAATAGCTAATCTGAATGTCAAATTTATAACTCATATAACATCATCATTTGATTTACCTGAACACTTATCAGACAAGTGTGATCCTATGAGGTGAAGCACAGAGGAAAGCCTGCAGCAGCAAGAAATGTGAACTCTAAACTACATAAAACTGAAAAGGCAAAAACGGCAAAGAGAAAGGATAAATTATTATCACTACTAATAACTTATAATTGTGGTTTTTATAGGTTACATTTTCACATTTATTCTATCATTTGAAGAACATTTTATTTTCCCAATAATTCTCTGAGGACAGAAGAATAAGCATCATTTATAGTAAAAAGAGTTACACATATAAAACACTTAAAATGTCTATTACACAATAAGTATTCAATTGTTAATTATTATTGTCTGTTACAGATGCAGGTTCAGAGGTCATGAAGGCTTGCCATTGGTGGGAAAGCAGAAAACCATTTTAGAAACATGGATAAAGGAGGAAGAGTTAAAAAAGACCAAAGGGGAGTCAGTAAGGTCATGAGGAAAAACTAGACTATAACTAGTCACAGGCTTCATTAGTCACAGAGTTCCAACCTAGCACAAATGAAAAAGGGAACACAATGGCATATCATAAACAGGTATTCCTGGAGAGGCTCATCCCTAGTCAGAGAAGATCACTAACAACTCCCAGGTTCAGGAGCAAAAGTCACGTATACCCCTAATTTTCCTTGCTGAGAAACCTATTTTGAGACACTAAAATTTCAGCAGAAGTTTGCTCTTTTTGTTTCAATCTTCGAAACATGAAGGGAAGATGAAAACGTTATTCTAGAGAACAATAGTGAAAGGTTTTCATTCTATCCTATTTAACAAAATGAAAAAGCTATCAAAATATACTTTAAGATCATGTCAAGCCAGTCTTTCTAACTGGCTCTTCTATAAAGGAAACAACTGAGCTAAGCTAGTTTTCTGCCAACAGTGTAAATCATACCCAGAACATGCAACACTTTATTACAGAAATGGTGTGTTTTCTAAAAAACAATAAAACTATGGTAAAATTAAAAAAAAAAAAAAATTGCTGGAAATTAGAGGCAGCTTCCTAAAATCAAAATACAAAATAATCACAAATTTCTCAGTCATATTTGATCAAGAATCTTAGTATCAAAATTGATGGCTGAACTACTTTTAGTTTGACGTGGTCTTAACAACATAAACAACTAAGTCAATTACAAGGTTAAAGGAGAATTTTATTAACTTTATTTTAATCCAACAACTCAGTTTACTCAAATCTCCAACTTCCCTCCCTATGTCCAAACTATTTTCTTATCACTGAATACTAAGAAATTGCTCTTTTACATCACACCATAGAAATTCAAAGAACTATGCACGGCCCTAATTAATCACAAAGCAATCAAAGGAATGAAAAAAGGATAGAATTTACAACTCTGTTTACTGAAGACCAAATAAAAATTCACTTTTGCAGGAGGATTTAGTTATGATGTTTATGCTGTGCAGCTAGATTTTAAATTTCATATATTTTTAAAAGTTATTATTAATTAAAACAACAGGTATACTATAATATTTTGAAAGCATAATAGCAATAGAGGACTTAATACAGGATTCATTGTCTAAAGAAAAGTATGAAGACTCGAATAGCAACACCTAATGATTTATCAGAAAAAAATTAACTAGATTGATCAGCCCATTTCTTATACTGTTTTGCTTCAAAGCATAAAGGGAATACATACCAGATGTTATCGATGAACCAAAAACATCTCTAAATTACATTCATTAAGCTCAGATTAAACATAATTTACAATTATAAATATGCCAAGGGCTAGTCTGTTCCTGCATAGCCATTTAGCCTCAAATCCATAACCATATTGAGTAAAATTTAAGGTATTTTCCAGCAGAATTCCTCTAAAATCATTTCTGTGTGCTTAACTGAACAAATCACTAAGGCACAAATTTAGGAATAAAAAATGGAAAATTATAAGGAGATACTAATGGATGATTCCTAAATTCTACTGGAGTTTAGGAAAACTTTCCCTCTACATCCAGTTTTAAATTGCTACATAAGTACCAAATCAATTTGCAATTTTCAAACCATCATCTTCCAAAAAGGAATCCAACAATTTCAATTAAAAAGGTCTGTCCCTATGGATGGACCTCGAGATAATCATGCTAAGTAAAATAAGCCAGAGAGAAGTTGAAAATCACATAACACTTATATGAGGGATATAAACCTAAAAGGAACAAAAGAACAGGACACACAAGCAGAAACTCATAGATATGGACAACAGACTAGTGGTTACCAGAGGGGAGGGGAGAGGGGGAAGGGGGAGGTAGACAGGGTAAAGAGAGTCAAATATGTGGTGACAGAAAGAAATCTAAATATGGGAGGTGAACACAGTCTAAATATATATGCGCCTTACTGTTAAAATATACAGCTAAAACATTGGATTTGTTAACCAATGTCACCATAAAAAAATAATTAATTTTAAAAAACTTAAAAAATAAAATAAATAAAAAGGGCTGTCCCTGACACTTTACAATACCCATAGGCTTATACAACCTAACTACCTTTAGCAAGAATTTTAGCACATAAAGTTGAAGATTTGGTAACTATCATACAGTCCTTCATCGCTTAATAATAAGGATACACTCTAGGAAATGCAACATTAGGCAATTTCATCGTGTGGACATCACAGAATGCACTTACACAACTCAAAATGGTATAGCAAACTACACACCTTGGCTATACCGTATAGTCTACTGCTCCATAGGCCATAAACCTGTACAGCATGTTATTGTACTGCACACTGTAGTTAATTGTAAAACAATGGTATTTGTGTAACTAAACGTATCTAAACATAGAACAGCAAAAATAATTTTAAAAAAGATACCCCTGTATAGGGTACTTACCATGAATAAAATTTGCAAGACTGGAAGTTGCTCTAGGTGAGTGAGTGGTGAGTGAATGTGCAGGCCTACGACATTACTGTACACTACGCATACTTTATTAACTCTGTACACAAGCTATACTAATTTGTGTAAAAAAAAAAAAGTTGACCTTAGCTTACTGTAATTTTTTTACTTTAAAACTTTTTAAAATTTTTTAACTTTAAAATTTTTTAACTTTTCAACCCCTTCATAGTAACAGCTTAAAACATTGTACAGCTCTACAAAAATATTTTTTAGTTCTTATTCAAAAAGCTTTTTAAATTTTTATTTTTTTATTTTATAAACTTTTTTATTGCAGACTAAGACATAAATACACATAGGGTCAGGATCATCAATATCACTGTCTTCCACCTCCACAGCTTGTCCCACTGTCTTCTGGGGCATGGAACATGCATGGAACTATCATCTCCTGGGAAAGTGCCTTCTTCTGGAATACCTACTGAAGGACTTGCCTGAAGCTCTTCATAAGGAGATGTCACTCTTTAGAAATATATCCATGATGGTTTGCTTGCTTTTTTTCATCATAAATTTGCTTGTAAACAGAAAACAACACCATGAATATTCCTCTCTACTAATAAAAACCTTTCGGTACTGGGCCCCATGTTTTAAAACTTTTTAAGGAACTTGTTGAGGTCTGCAAAAGCTTCTGCTAAATGCTTTGCTGTGAATCTTCTTAGAGGTTCTTCTTGTTCTTCTTCAGCAGTTTCCTTCCCTCTTCACTCTTCTTTAGTTATGCATTCCTGTTCCAGTTCCAAAAACTCACTAGTCAATTCCTCAGGAACCACTTTGAGGAGCTGCTAAATGTCATCCTCATCCACACCCAGGTTGAAGTTGTTTGCCTTCTCAACCATAGCCTTGTTGATTTTTGCAACCTCCTCATCCTTTGAGGTCACAGATGAACCTACTGAGTGTCTCCTTCCAGATGACATTCATATACTCCTCGGTGACATCACCCAAGCCCAAGCAAGGTTCTTTGATGAAGTCATAGGTGGTGTAATACTTCCAGGATTGCATCGGTGTCTTCTGTGTCTTCCTCAGTTGCAGCAATAGCCTCGGCAAAGGTCCTCCTGAGGTGGTAGACCTTAAAAGCTGCTGTAACTCTTTGATCCATTGGTTGGATCAAAGAGGTGGTGTTTGTAGGAAGAAATATCACTTTGATACTGGGATTAAGGTCACCAATAAAAGGAGGCTATATGGGAGTATTATCAACAATAAGCAAAATCTTGAAAGGTATGTTATTCTACAAACAATACTCCTCCATTTTGCTTGAACAGAAATCCAAGAGGGTGTCTTAAAAAAGGAGGGTAGGCAATCCATGACTTTTCACTGCTCCTGTAGTACACGGCAATGTGTGTTTATTAATATGCTTGAAGACCCTGGGTTCTCGCCGTGCCAGATTACAAAGGAATTCAATTTGTAGACTGCAACATTGCCCCCAACCAAGACTGTTATCCAGTCCTTAAAAGCCTTGTAACTTGGCTTTGACTTAGCCTCCTTATAGATGAAAGTCCTTTCAGGCAATTGTTTCCAGAATAAAGAAGTTTCATCCATATTGGATATTTGCTGTAGCAAGTCATTTTCCTCCACAATCAGCTTATAGAGTTTCTAAAAATTCTTCAGCTGCCTTTACAACAGCACTGTCAGACTCACCACTCACTTTCACGTTATATAATAAATAACAATTCTCAAATCATTTAAAGCAGGGGTCCCCAACCCCTTGGCCGTGGACCATTACCAGTCTGTGGCCTGTTAGGAACAAGGATGCACAGCAGGGGGTGAGCAGCAGGCAAGAGAGAAAAGCTTCATCTGTATTTGTAGCTGCTCCCCAGCTCTTGCCATCACTGCCTCAGCTCCACCTCAGATCATCAGGGATTCGATTCTCACAGAAACACTGGTCCATGGTGCTAAAAAAGTTGGAGACCGCTGGTTTAAATTACCCAGAGCTAACAGTAAGTTCAACATTATAGTCAGATCCAGCCTTTTCTTTAAACATCACAAATAAATTTTTTGTATTGGCCACGATCATTATGGGGCTGAGAGAGATATGTTTGTGTCTGGTTTTTAATACAGGTTATCAGAAGATTCTCCATGTCTAATATAGGCCCTTCTCAAATTTTCATTAGTCTTGTTGCCTTCAATGAAAAAGATCC